AGTATCTCTGTAGTATCTCTGTAGTACCCCAGGAGTTTCTCAGTGCTGTCTTCAAAGCAGCGTAGCAGTGCTATAGAAATACACCAATATCCTGACACTGGACTAGTAGTACTTTACTATTAGCAACAAAGTATTGACAGTGGACCAAAAGCATCGCAGCGGTACCCTGATAATACACCAAAAGTAACGTAACACTCCCTTTTTTACTGAACTAGAAGTATCTCAGTAGTATTCTTATACCATACTGTTATCTTAGTAGTGGCCTGAAAGTATCATACTAGTATGAGGAATGCGCTGACAGTATCCCAAAAGTTTGAGTGCTGCCCTAATAGTATCTCAGAAGTATCTTACCGCTACCTTTTCTAGTGCCCTTGTAGCATCTCAGAAGTATCCTGCTGATATTCTACCACCTTCCTGACAACACCCTACTGAAAAATGAGTACTCTCCTGAGAGCACCTTAGCAGAGTTGCGATAATATCCTGATAGTATCATAGTAGGACCCTGACACTACTTTAGTAGTATCATAGTAATGGCCCTGTAGTATCTCAGTAGTGCCTAGATAGTACTGTGAAAGTATCTCAGCGTTATCTTTGGAGTAACCAGGCTATACCCTGACAACATTTTAGCAGTATCGCTGTGCTACACTCAGAGTATCCTAGTGGCAGCTACCGAATAGCTCAGCACTGCCTTGAGGGTGTGTTAGCACAGGTTGTAGTATCCTAATGCTATGTCAGGAGCATCCTAATAGCACCTGAGTTACATCCTAAAAGTGCCCTGACAGTATCACAGTAGTACCTGAGCAGTGTCCTGATAGGATCCTAATAGTGCTGTAATAGTATATAGCTGCTATCTTAGTAGGGTCCTGATAGTATCTTCTATCTTAGTAGGGTCCTGATAGTATCTTAGTGCAATGGAATATCCAGTTACTACCTTAGTGCCGTGTCACTATGCTGAAAGCATCTTAACCATCCCTGTTGTAGTATCCTGTGAGTGCCCTGATGGTGTGTTAGCCCCCCACCAGTGGTATCTTCCTAATAGTATCTCAGTAACAACCCTGGAAAGATTCTGGAAGTATCTCAGTAGTATCCTGACAGCACCCTGGCAGTACTGTAGCAGTGTTCTTGCAGTATCCCAGTCCCATCCACGTAGTATCCTATCAGTATCTTACTGCCACCCCAAGAGGGCCTTAGTACTATCTGCAGAGTATCCTGAGAGCACTTTAGCAACCCCCCAGTAGCAACTTCATAGCACCCCAGTAGTATCGTGAGAGCATCTCTGCTGCTTCTTGACAGCAGCCGAGTAGCCCGCACAAGGCTACGGGGGGGAGCATCCTGGTAGTAACTTAGCAGCAGCCCCATCAGAACCAAAGAGTAACCTAGTAGTAAGGCAGTGAGAACCCCCAAAAGGTGCTGCCACCCCGACCCCCCCACATGGGAAGGGGCACG